GCTCCATCAGGATGGGACACTGCAGGATTACCTGCAGCATCGTCTCCGCAATCTAGGTCCCTGCCCACAGATTAGAGACAAACTTCCAGCAGAGCTGCAACGCTTTGCTGTGTGTACCAAAATGGGAACTGGGCTTCCACAGGGATCACTTGGAAATACAAGTGCAGTAAATTGACCACATTCCTTTTTATTACAGTCAAGGGCAAAGCAGAATGCAGACGACTCAAGGTTATGTTAAAAGTCTACCTCTGCTGGAATCCAGTCAATCAGTGTTTTGCAAGGGCTTGTTTGCACATAGCAGAGTGACTCACAGCAAACACGTGTGAATTTTCCCTGCACTTCCATTACAAACCCAGAATGTTCATGTACAGAAAAGTTGCAGTACTGCAAACTCACTCACCAGTTTATGGCATTGTAATTTCCTTATGTAGACAAGCCCTAAAGCCGTGACAGAAGTAGGTTTACTTCTGTCTGTTATGAACAGCAGACTTGTGAGAAGCCGGACGCAGAATAGGGAGAAAGTGCAGAATTATGAATGGCTCCTAGCTCAATGTATACGGCTCCCACTGACAAGGGAATACACGTGTCTGAGTATGCAGCTCTTCGTAGCTTGGTTTGGCCAGGAGCTAGAGCACAGAAATTTCACCTTGGTCCTTGTGTGAAAACAGACACCTCGAGACAGTAGGGAAATGCTTGGAAAGAAGGTATACATGCTCTTCACAAACAGACATTTTTCTGCATGCAGTTGCAGGAAGCAAGTTCTGTTTGAAATCTCTTATCATGTTAATATATGGTCACCAGAGGCCTCGTTTTCCAAGTGGCAGCTGGTTGGAAATTCCCTGGTATAACCACCTATTACATAACAAATTAACCAACTACAATTCAACGTAAATTCGGATTTGCCTATTGCTGTGAACAGAGCACAAGGGAAGCAGAATGGGTGACAAGCACTCTGCAACGCTTGCATGTGAGCTATATATTTGCATGGGGTAGGGAAGCAATTCACTCATAGGACTCAGACTTTTTAAAAGCAAATCATTTGTTTTGCCCTTCCATCTGGACTCAAAGTAAGAAATTACACAGATTTCCACTGCCCACTCTACTTTTCCCTCCATACCCTCTTCTCACTGGCACGAGATAAAACCTTGGGGAAACAGCAGCAGCAATTTTCAATTCTCATTATCTAACGGCAGCAGTAGCTCTTGGTGAAACTTGCGGTCAATAAACTACAGGCAATTTTAAAAGACACAATGGGAGCTGCCCCTCCTACAGTTGTCCCATTATCCCAGCTTTTATTAGATTTAAAGCCAGCAATTTTTATGCTGTAGCTGAAGTTCTGCAGAGCCATGGAAACAGACCACCAGAAAAGATAAAACACTCCTAAATTAAACAGGAGATATCACAGTAACACACTCTAAAGTCAGAGACCTTCCACATAAGCAAAGCACAGGATGCACTAAGGAACCCAGTGCCTAAGGGGGCTGACGTCACTGCAGTGAGCCAACAGCAACACGACCAGAGCTCAACATTCAGGATGGTATAAATGCAAAAGCTAGTGAGCAGGTTAGGCAGGACAAGTTGAAAGCATGCTAGCTACAAAGGTGGACAACCAGAGCAGGATCCTGCTCCCATAACTATGAACATCCCAGTAGAGGCACCAACTTTGTACTTCATGCCCTGGATGTGTCTCCCAGCTGGCAGAGAGAAATATTCATTTACTGGCTGGCAATTCAGCTGGCCTGTTTCAGACACCTGTTTTAGAATCAGATGTGCCTTGCTCTAGAGGGGCCTATATCCCTCCATTGACTACAAAAGATGGCTCAATGGGCAGCAAATATCCAAACCAGGTGATTAGCTATATCCCTACAATAAAGTAACCTGCTCCACGAAGAAAGGCTGGACAGGAAGTGAGTAGAAAATAAATTTTGAAACTCATTAAATGATTACCTGATATATTTGTTCATGAGGCAGAAATAACTGAGGGTGCATCTGAGCTCCCAGCTCAGAGATGTACACAGCAATAGGCAAAGAGAAATGGGTGCCCATAGGAACAGTCTCAATCCGACACAGCAAGGGGGAAGATGCAAAGAATTATTCTCATCCACTGTAAGCTATAATTTTCAGTCTAGAAATCTAGAGCTTGGTTTCTCTGAGTCTAATGTATACCATGCCCTGGAGACATTTTTACCAGCCATCAAAAGGAACTTGCAGAGAACCAGATGCTTCATTAAAGAATATTCACCAAGCCTTATAAAATCTTCAGTAAAAAGCAGAAGAACAAATCATCAGCATGCAACTTAGCTGAAGTCACACATCCAGCTTTGATTACAACCTCCTGCACTGGAAAATAAATTGTGGGGTTTTTTTTAAAAAAAAGGTAAAAACCACTCAAGAAATCAAGAGATTCTGGCCTTTCTTTCCCCCATTCCTCCAACCTGAATTTCTTGAATGAGGAATACGTGATACAAAGCCATTTGGTATAAGATGATAATTTAAACTTAAAGAAAAATAACAGCTTAAAAAAGGGAAGGGAGGAGAGAGTTTTAATGCTACATGAAAAAAACACAACAGCTTGTGATCGCTCCATATATCTCAGGAGTCAGAGGAGTAAGTAGGAGCAGTGAGACAAATTGTCAGGGCTTGAGCTGTCCTGAGACAAGAGGAAACTTCAGAAGACATAGTGCCTTACACAAGTTTTATTTGAATTTGCACTTGCAGGACCCTCTAGTGCTATATCTAGCTGTAAGGTTTGGTTACCTATTCCTTAGTCTATCTCACCCTATTCTTTAGTCTATCTCGCCCTTTCTTAAGACATAGCAAGAAGATTTTCTGTCACGTTGTCATAATCCACAACAAATTAATGTCCTACGCACTGCTCCTTCCAGGTAGTTTCTATAACAGTGGGGAAAAATTTTCTGAAGTTCACTGAACACTCTGGGAACGAAGACAACTCCCAGTTTCTGGCTTACAAAGACAACCTACCAAAAACTCCACCACCATGTAAATCCCCAAAAGACCCAAGTTAATAGGATCTATCACTGCCCTCTGCTGTTACCAGTCATTTAGCTTCCAATTTACTCTCCAATAACGCTGGGCTGGGGCTCAGGGCTGGCAGTGCCCCAGCCCCTTTCTCAGGCGGGTTGGAGCCATAGCTTGCAAATATGCTGAAGTTTAATGCAATCTGTCTTCTCTGGTAATCACATTCCGCCTGCACTGCATGCAATAAAGATGTATTGGTAAATGCATTTGCTAAAGATACACTCCACCGAAAAGGCTACAAGCCTGATTTAGAGAAGGCAAGGAGGAAAAGGGAGGCTGGCAAGAGATGCACCAATGCTCCACGCACAGCAACTGGGGGCACGGATTGTGCAGCGGCAGCACAGGCACCGCTTTGCTTTAAAGCTGAGGAAGAAAAAGGAACCACATGTTTTGGGAGCTGGGGACTTTAAAGATATCAGAGAAAAGCCCTTTCCCTGGCAGCTTTAACCTTGCTGATTTGCAGACATACAAAGACCTTCTTTGTAAACAGGAAGGAAAAAAATTCCACTAGGACTAGCAACAACATTTGGTCTAATATATCCTGACAATTTTCCCATCTCCTTCTGTCGGGCTTCTTCTGGGAGCCGGCTGGCAGCTTGTTTCATGTTATACTTAAATCAGGCATACAGCTTCCCCTCACAATGCTAATGCGACAGAGAGGAACTGCTTCCATGAAATATCCACCTCTCCCCCACCCTTTGGTTTAGTAATCCTATGAGAGAAGTCTCAATTTTCTATTACCATCCTTTTCCCCAAATCCACCTTACTATAGTCTCAGCACCTTTTGGAGACTTTTCTACTATCTCAGAAAGAAAAAAAACCAAACCAGAAAAGCTTGCCCTTGAGGGACACCTGACCCACTGAAATCTCACATGGGAAACAGCATCCTTTACACTTCACTTTTCCCAGGACCATACCCTAGTTGTAATGTCCAAATACTTCATTTTCTTTTCCCCTTCACTTGTTTCAATAGTCAGAAATTCTTCCAAGGTACTGAGCAGCCACTGTCCTAAGGCATCAACAGAACCTACTAGGACTTGCATCTCAGAAGGAAGAGCCATAAGGCTTGCTGGCCTCCTGCACAAGATGAACAGTTTTTAGGAGTGTGCAGTTTTCTTAACAAATAGCAGCTTCGCCCAGTAAAGAACATTTCCTTATGCAGCAATGAAAGGCAGCAAGACCTCCAACTCACTGCAAAGTCCTGTTCAAAATGTTACTGACCTAGGCAAATGGATTTGTCTACCATTTGCAGGATACAGTGTCCAAGAAGGCAAAACTTGTGAAAATCACTGTGACTGGCTTTGAAACCTAGGAGCACTGGTGCCACTGTTTTGGTGGTAGCTTGGTATAACAGGACCCACTGATGAGAGTGAAGCTGGGACATACCACAGTGTGACTGGAAAATGTGGAATGAACATGGGAAAATGGATCCCAAGGAAAATTTGTCTCTGTGAAGATTGCAATTTGACTAACAGATACCACAGCTCTTAAAAACACTTCCCAGAAGAAAACACCATGCAAAACAAGACAGCAAAGCCAGCCAGTACAACAGAGAAGCTTTTGTTACCTTCTGTGCTGCACTAACACAGCGCTGATACTCCTTAGCCAGCTCCGAGCATTTGAGCACTTCATGTTTGTTTTCTTGGTAGCACTTCAGAATTTCAGACTGCAGGCTTGCACAGACAGGATCAGTGTTCCTCCTCCTGCAGGGAAAACAAGCACAGAAGAGGAGTTTTCACCCTCTTACTACCACTCTACCAGTAACACATATACATCTTGTGCTGGATTCATGTAGTCCTAATAGAGAAACCAGTGGGAGCAGCAATCACCAAAGTGGGTCAAATGACCAACAGTGTCTTTCAGCTGAAAAATCCAGGGTACTTAGCAGAAGAAAGAAGGAACATGATCTTTCTAAGTTGGTGTGGAAGGCTGTTTTACCTTTAGATAAAACATCATGTCTCCTCTGCGGTCAGGGGGTAAAAAAAAACCCCCAAAACAAACAAACAAATCCAAGAGTTTCAATTATTTTCCTAACTCACATTGGAAATCTTTGGCAGAACTCAGGAATCCTGGCTGGGCCTGCACTAGATCTGTAACTGTCTGACAAGGAACTGAGCAGACTTGTTGAATAAGCCACCTCGATCTATTGAATTCTCATCTATTTAAACACTTCACAAAATCCAGCATGGTTGGAAGCACTGCAATGCTCCTAGTGACTACAAAATACAGAATAATAGCAAGACCAGATATCTGTTTCTTTGTATTTCTGCAGCAATTAGTACTCATACTCCGTAAATGGCATTGACAGCTACCCAAGAACAATTAAGGATGATGTTCTTATACTCTAATGTGCATGTGTACATATGGCACATCATCAGCAACAGCACCAATAAAGGGGAAGGTCGTTGTAAAACAATACCAGCAACAATGGCACAAACACAGTAACGACAGTGACATCAGCTTCACAGAGAGGCAGACACAAATTGCAGGAATTTGCAGTGCAATTGCCATAGTATGTTCTACCAGAGAACAAGAGAACATATGCTTAGGTGTAGCAATGCTCAGATGTCATCTCCTAAACCATAAATGCATTTAATTCCTTGCATTTTCTGCCCCAATATGCTTAGAGATCTGTGCCCAAATATCAAATGCACCTCTTCCTTCCAAAGCACTCAATGCTACAGACAGGCACTAATGCCATGCTATAATGTATTCACTTCCACAGGAGCAACAGGCACTGATTCAGCAACAGGGCTTCAGAGTGAGGCAGAGAGAAAACATGACCTGTCCCTGAGCATGTCACATTCTCTCAGGTGGAACAGATTCCTAAGAGACAGGAACTCGTAAAGATCTTCTAAAAGCTTTTGGAGAGCTCAGATATGAGCTTCCAAATCACGCCTTGTCACTCAAGGTGCTCAGGACGGCAAGTGGAAGGACCAAATGAAGAAAAACAATGTTGTCTTTTCCACATCAGCAACCTGGTTGCTGCCTCAAAACAGTTTGGCTGAGACATACTCTAATTGATGCTTCTTCAGTCCTCAGTCTTCCTGCCAACATGCATGGACAGACTCGGAACTTATCAGTAAGAATATGACAGCCACATTGAAAACACTGAAATTTGGATCAGAAACCACCCAAGACACTATACAGACTTCTTTTCCCACCTCTTCACTAATCTTACAGCTTTTAGAAGAAACTTATTCCACGCATGGTCCCTGGAGGCTAGTGTGCATTTCTAATTTCTGTGTTATATAGTAAATCACCTTTAAAGCCTCTAAAATCCATATTCTAAAAAAAACTTCAAATTTTGGAATAGAAAGGAACCCAGAGAGAGCTTCAGAAACTCATAATGTTGGCATTTTGCTTTGTCACTAACTTTAATATCACTCTAATCAAATCAGTGAGACTGTGGAAATGATACCAAACAATACCAGGTCAAGAAATACCACCAAATCCCTCAATTCATTGAAAAAGTTAAGACTTTTAAAATTAGGTTTTTTAAACTCAGCGATGTTAAACTGAAGGGCATTTTGTAATTTTCATACAGACACCTGGAAGAGCAAAAAGGTACAGTGTACCACAAACCAGTCTGTATTCATCTGAACTGAACAACGTGGTACAAACAGATCAGAAATACTTAGAAGAATGATTGAGGTCACCACTGTCTGTAGGGAGAGCTATTGGAACCGTGCCTTGGTTTTGACCTGTTCCTTCACTGTCCTTCCTATGGCATCAGTCTTCACTGCATAGAGTAAATACAAAGCTAAGCCCACCTGTGGGCTCAGACAGCAGTGCAAAGTCTGTGGTCTTCTTTAGCAGACCACTCAGAGCTCAGCTCACAGGGCTATTTAAAAACCACACAGTGATGAGCAAGAAGCCATAGAGTGAGAGTTGCTGCCTAAAGCCTACCAGAGGCAAGGGATCAATCAGCACAGGCTGGTGTGCATGGCCCAGTGAGTACCTAAATCAGCATTCAGACACGCTGCTTCCCACAACACAGGGAGGATTTATTTGGTACCATGAACCCAAAATCATAACAAGAATATTCTCCTTTATTTCTTCAGAATAAAACCTCAAACTGTGGTCATGCATCAGTTGCAACAGCTTCTCAAAACAGATTTAGAGAAACCAATCAACAAATCACAAACTTGGTTAAGGTAATTGCCAATACAAGTTACACACACCAATGATTTAGTGCATTCAGACGCAAACTGGAAATTCAACAGGAGCAGTTAAATCCCACCGAGAAGGCCATTTCACTTTGGAGCAGGAAGCTAGTGCTCCTTGGGAGGGAACTGTCACTGTGTCCCACCACAGTGTCATCTATGAAACCAAGGAACAAGAAGTAAGTGTGAGCTCACCGTAAGGAAGCACACCCTGCAGAGTCTGGCAGCACACAAGTTACCCACGTCCAGCAGACTAGTTCTGGTATCCATCTGGACTGGAAAGGGGTATATAAATTGCTCTGGAGAACAATTGCTTGATGTGCTTTCCCTCCCAGCACAGCAATCACGACTCCTGTCCTGCCTGATTCAAAGGGAAGTGACTCTCCTGCTCACATTAAGTCTCTTAACTTCAGACTGCAATGTCTCCACACAGGGGGAACTGCAGCCCTATACACATACACCAGCTGCACCTTACAGTTGTCCCTGGCTTTACTTGTACATATCTGAAAGAAAAAGGCATTAAACCAGCAGCAGCCAACCACAAACATCCGTGTCAAGCGCAATGACATCGCACATTGACTTCCAAGGGAGGTGGATCTTCGTCAATTATCTCTCTTCACCCTTAGCCCAGCTCAAGGCTCTTGGCACTAACTAATCTTTAGAAAAATTCATCTTCTGGACACTCCACCACACTGCTCTTGATGCCTCATGGTTTGAGGGATTTTACTATTATTTCTTACATGAGAGGGAAGAAAAACAGAGGAGAAGGGATGAGGTTAGTATACACAAAGAGCAGAAGACTTGCAAGTTTTGACCTTTCTTCTAAAGCGGGTCACAGTTTTAAGCATAATATGCTACCACCAAACGAGGTAGACCATTGGCCCCTGCCTAAAATAAAACACGTTGCATTTGCTACCACTATTATTGGAACAGGTCTAAGAGGCACATTTACAGCAGCTAGGAAAAAGGCAAGAGAGAAAGGCTGGGCTGGGGGGGCTAGGACAATACCTGCAGATAGGGAAGCATGGGAGACGAGCTCTGACAATACCTTGGGAATAAATAAATGCAGGACATACAGAATATGAATCATTAAAACAACAGTTCACACTCATCTTAAAGACAGAGGAAAAGAGGAAGGCTGACAGGTCAGAAAAAGGAAAATATGAATCTATGCATTAGCAGTGCCTCCCCCAGCACAGAGGGGAAGGAAACCTTTGCCTCACCACTGTTCAATGGGAAGGAAGGCTATATGCACATGAAAACCATGATTTCAGAACTTCCTCTCCCACTCCCATGGAGGGATTTAAATCAGGTCTTTGTCTGGAAAAGAAGGGAGAGGTTTTCTTAAAATGAAACAAAGGGCATCCTTCTCTCCGCTATCCCTTGAGGTAAGTCAGAATGAGCACAATCTTGCTGCATTTTGACACCGAGAGTTACCAAATCCTCTCTATCACTGCATATTCCCTTTACTTTATTTAATAAATGAAATCTCATCAAGTTATCCTTCTTCTATTATCACTGCTGACATCAATCTGATAATATTGGCTTGGCGTGGAATCGTGCTATTATATGTCCTCTTGATATTTAATTTAAGAGAAACGTCTGCAGTGGGGTGAATATGTGAAGCAAGCTTTTTATTACTGGCAGCAGTAAGGACGCTGGGAGTGAATTAGACATTCATCTTAGTCAGGGCCAATCTAGTGGCTCAGAAGAGGTTTTCTTCTTAACCCTCTCCTAACTGTTCAATAGTGGCAGGTAACGGCTGCTTCAGTCAATAACTGCATTCATTTGTCTTGGCAAATTCATTCCTACATGGATATAAACACCATGAAGAAGTACTAAGCGTCTGGGAGGTTAAAGCAAGGTTCTTTGAGATTTTCCATCAGAAGCACTGTGATAGTAGGAAAAGTGCTGGTCTAAATGTCCATCAGTTAATCAAGAAGCAGCACAGCTTCTGAAGACAAACACACAAACTCACTGCAAGAAGCGATTAAGGACATAACATCAGGATACAGACCCAGAGACAGAAGGTTTCAGACCCAGCACAATGGCTGCTAGCCATTTGCTGCTGACAGACTCCCTTTTTGGAAGAATTATGGATTCAGTACTGGAAAGCAAGGGAAAGCTAGAAGATGTATCTGTATTTGCTGGTCCTTCCACACAGCTGAAAAATCAGACTACCCAAGCAGAGATACAACTCCAATGCTTTAGGACTTGGCAGCTCTTTAGACTAGTGCAAAATCAGTAACTCCAGTGAGTAACACACCATCACTTGGCTTTAACAGGGAGAACTGCAATTCCAGATGGAGTTAAGAGCAAGATCTTCTTTTTACATTTTACTCTGGGAAACCATTCAAGCTGAGAAAAAACTCAAGATAGAGACCGACGGTATCTAAACACAGACACTTCAATACCTCTGCTCAGAAAGTGAAAAACAAAGACACACAGGGTCCCTCATATAAGCCATTGTTAGAGTGTCTAGTTCCAGCACACAGCTGCAAGCAGCAACCTAAATGGGGCAGCAACCTGGAATTTCC